ACGCGGGCCGGGCCTCGGGTCTGTTTTAGGCTTCTCCTTACTTTTATATTTTAGACATCCATCAATTAGTGATGAAAAATTGCTGCGCTGGTGGAAGCAGCACGAGACCGTGCTACCACGACTGTAAGAGCGGCTCGACTGAGTTTAGCGTCCTGCAGCAGCAGTATGTACGGTGTGTGCCATCAGCGCAGCTGAACAGTTCTGCGTTCAAATGCACGCAATAGCTTAACTTTGCTCTGGATTTCACTCATAATGGCGCCACAAGTCATCCTCCTGTGAAAAGAGATGGTTTTTAAATTTTGATATATTCTCCTCAACTTTTCATACCAAATTTTTTGCAATGTTGTAAGGATTTACTATCACAGTCACATGTGTTTTAGGCGGGAGAGAGAAGCTGAACCCGCAGTTCCGCTCTTTTGCGCGGGCATTTTGTCGCTTTTCCGTACAGAGAAGCAAGTGATTCTTCGAGTTATTATGTGTTATTTAACCATATTTATTTGATAAGCCTTTATAAATACATATGCAAAATAATTTTCCTGTAATTTTATTTATAAATCAGTGGTAAGGTTAGCTACAACTTTTGTGGTGAATTGAGCTGTGAAATAAAATCGGTTGAATGAAGTGATGGCTGAGATAACATTCAATTTATTTTGGCTTCAGTTTGGTTCTATAAGCAAAACATGTTTGCACATTTTTGTAATTTCTTTCAATCTTCACCATCTTAAATTGGAACAGCTTGATTTTTACCGTAGCCTAACGTTAACGGTGCCGCGAGTCGTCCTCATGGAAGAGTTTTAACTTTTCCAAACCTGTACTAACGTTACCTCAAACCATTTCATAAGCATTTCCCACAAAACTTGTAAGTATTTATCAAAAATATTTTTTTGTCTGGGTTTTTAGACAGGAGAGAGAATATGACCCAAAGTTAACACTCTTTTGCGGACATTTTGTCTCTCACGTGTTTCACGGTTTCATGTGAAGCTTATGGCCATGTGTTTTTGATAAATAAATAAATTAATAACTTTTAGTAAAATGATTCCTGCTTAAGACTGTGGTTCTTAATCCTGTTAACGTTACTCGTGAGTCGCAACCCCCGCTCTGCACATTTTGAATTCAGGGGTTTGTTCTATTCAGCCGTAAGTTAAGTGCCCTACGAAGTGGACTTCACAGGACATTCCGCCATGAATGATTCCAGTTCGAAAGAAGCGTATGTTCCATTCAAAGCGCATTAAAGGGCGCGAGACGTGACTACTGAGCAAATCTCACGATTACAATTAAATAAAATCCAACAAATTTACCAAAATTACATTTATTTTAAATAATTATAATACTTAATGTGACAATTTTATATAGAAAAATACAACATAAAAAACACATTTTCAGTCCTCAATCTTATCGATTTTAGCCGTAATGGAGCCACGAGTCATCCTCGTGTGAAAAGAGATGGTTTTATTCTTTAACTTTTTCAAGTCTAATTCTGAAGCATTTAAATATTGGTTTCAAAGTTGTTGTTGTTTTTTTGATAAGGGCAAATAAGTAAAAGTAGAGTGAATGCTTAGAAATATAGAAAGGGCAAATTATTGCATGTTTGGAAAAAATGTTAATGGTTGAGATGAGAATGATTATGCATGTTGTGCTGTGCTTAATCGAGTACTGCTGCTACATTTCAGTAAACATGTTAGTGAAGGTGATTTGCAGAGGAGCACAGAAGTATGTTAAGGTCCCTGAGACTGATGGGGAATTGAACTATCACCAGTTTCACCAGGAAGGTTTGAAGGCTGTTTTGGTAACATATAGAAGTAATAGGGCATATAAGCTTAGGTGCATCATGCTGTATTATATAAATTTAATTGTAAATACCATTATTAACTATGTAAACTTTTCTGACTTCATTCTTATCCCAACATAGCTGCAAAAAAATTTGGCCTGCCGACCGATGTAGAGGTGACTTACAAGGATTCATCAGGGACTGAGGTTGATGCTGACATATTCAGTGAACTCCTCCTGCAAGGCAGTGTCACTCTCATAGCCTGTTTGGATGATGGTGTGTTCAGTTTTACTGTAATTCTATAAGTTTTGTTCTAGCGACTGTTCTAGACACATTTTTTTCATAAATAATTTGAAGTTAAACCAGGATTATGTAAAATGCTTAATTTGACCTCATGTGAATTTGTTTTGCCCCAAAATCTAGATGCATCTGATGTCTTGACGTCTTCAGAAACATGTTCATCAAATGCATCAGCACAGATTACTGACAATCCCCCGAGAAAGAAAGCAAGGACGACAGATGACTGTACTACTACTGACAAACAAGCAGCAAAAAACGTAAGTTATGTAAATGTTAAAAAAAATTGTTACCTTTTGCCTTGTATACTGATTAGTCATTATCCATGCTTTAAGATAAAGCACAACTATGACCTCTTTACCAGGGTTCTGATAATATCACTGCACAGCACTTATAGGCTGCTGGTCTTTTTGCATAGCATTTGCTGTCAAGGACAATTTATTTCTGTCTTTAATATTTTATTATATCTATAGATGCACCAATCGTCCAGCCATAAACCAGACTTTTTTTT